TGTACTGTGGTTTCCTGGCCTTTATCAAAAATGACAAGAACCTGGGACGGTCCACTGGAGGCTATGAGGGAACAAGTTAACAAGTACTGTAGCTACCTCCATGGACCAAATGGCATTTATACTGGCCCCAATTCTTTCTTTCTGGAAACAGAGAAATGCAAAGGAAATGTGTTCTTCAAGTACTGTGAAAGATTTGTTATGATGCATAGTTCTTTTTGTTTCCAAGGGCTCTGAGAAAGACTACCAGCTGTGGGTGAGTGCTGGCAAGGAAGCGTCCCCACACCCACTCACTGGTAAGTGTCAGGGAAAATCTAAGATGGGATTGATTAGGTTCAAAATTGTAACTCTACATCTCAAAGTAATGGTTGTTCTGTCTTCAGCTTAAATACCCTTAAAAGTGAAAATCACATGCAATATTCACTCTCACGTTTATTAAAGAATTACCAGGTGCTTACTTGTTCCCAGGCACTGAGGACATCTCTTCATTCATCAGCTTAAGGTCTAGTTAGGGAGAGAAATGTAAATTTTTCGTTTCTACTTCATTTTACCTGACAAACGGAGCTGTCTTAAAAATTTTTTTGTTTATTGTTTACTTACTTATTTACTCACTTAGGTATGAAAGCATAGAATTGGAATTTTTTTTCCCCATACATTTATTTTTCATATTCCAGTCTTGAATTCCAGTTCCTAACGACTAAATAGCCTCTATTTTGTGAGAATCCGCTAAAATCCAATCATGTCTCTGAATCCAGGTATAGGTATGTATTTAACACCTGCTCTGTGCCCAGAAGTTTTCTCAGCATCATAAAGAGAATGAGATAATCACATTTAAACTCCTCAAGTCTTCACTGACTAAACTACCTGCACTTTGTTGTTTCTCAGGCTTTTTCCATCACTGTTCTTAAGGTTATTGATAAACAGATTACACCTCTCCTAAAATAGTTATTAGCACAAGTTCTCTAAAAAAAAATCTTTGGATTAGCAAAATTGTTCAGTGCTTACCAAAAATAGAAGGATTAAAAAACAAGAGAAAAAAGAGAGGATCTGTAGCAGACCTTGAAGTATAGTAATGTATGGTAATGGTGACAATGATTTCTGCTAGAAATCTTAGAGCATTCCTTCTTACATGCGTTTTTCAAAATCTTTTTAATAATCCTGTGAGGCGGGATGCCTGGGTGGCTCAGTTAAGTGTCTGCCTTTGGCTCAGGTCATGATCCCAGGGTCCTGGGCTCCTTGCTCAGTGGGGAGCTGCTTCTCCCTTGGCCTGCCGCTCCCCCTGCTTGTGCTCTCTCTCTCTCTCTGACAAATAAATAAATAAAATCTTAAAAAGAAAATAATCCCGTGAGGCTATTACTCTTTTTCAAGTTATCTAAAGAATATTTTCAAGTGATCTAGAAATCTAAATAACCAATTTCTTTCTACGAAATGTATATTCCCAGTCTTAGAATACAGAGAGTCACCAAGGGCATAGCTGAGGAAAAAAATCCCCCCCACCATTTCATGTTTCATATTAATATTGACATCTCTGTAAAAGTCGGCCAACCACAAAAAGGAAAAAAGTCAAATACTTAAATATATTTATTTTAATTAAGTGCATTAATTTAGGTAAAACAATAGAGATGATAACTTTTTAGACTTTGAGCAGCTTCACACACCAAGGCAGCTCTAAGGAATCCGGAGAGCCTGTCATTCATGATGATCCATTGGCAGCATTCAAAATGCATTTTTTACCAATGCTCTCAATTCTCAATTGCGGATTATCTCCTGGTTATCTTTGTGATTTGGTTGTATTGCTGTCGTAGAAGCTTCTTTTTCCTTAAAAGAGGGAAGTCACTGTGATTCTTGTGAACACATCACTGACACTGCATCTATGACAGATGAGAAGGAACAGCAAAAGCTCCCCAAGTTACATTCAATAATAAATCAGAAATGACAGAAAGAGAACTTCCATTCTGTTCTTAAAAAATGAGATCCATATCCTATAGCACAGGGTCTTTGAGAATTCTATAGAGAGGAAACAATTTAAAGCATACAAGAACAAAACAAATCACTTGGCAGGCAACTCTCACTGACTCTGGGTGCAGTTTTCCACTCTGTAAACATCGTTTTGCACTTTGCTTCTGGGTTCCCAACACTGTTCAGCCTTCCCTCTGATCATCACCTGGCAGGACTCCCCTTGGAGGAAGGGCAGCAGTGGGAGGGAAGTATAAAGCATAAAGGCAACCCATCCCACTGCCCTTGAGTAGCTCTGCCTCTAGAAATTGACAAAAGGAAATGAAAAAAAAATCTGCTCAACTGACATTATGTGAGAGAGAATAGCAATTCTTAATATATATGTTCAATTATTTAAAAAATATTACCCACCAATGCATATTAATATATTTACTCTGATCCTTATAAGTTTGTGTGAGGGCAAGCATTTCAAAGGATGAATGTAAGGCTCAGAGGGGTCAAGTAATTTGCCTAAGATGTGCAGATCTCGTTAGTGTCAAGGCAGAAACTAGAAGGCCTTAAATATTCTCAGATGGAAACACAGCAAAAGTCAGCATTGTGCAATGCACTGATGAATCTTTGTATTCCAAGTAAAGTAACATGCTTTACATTTTTTTTCTCTTTTTAAAATCTTTTCCTTGGGCACCTGCTTTCTGCAGGGTGTCTCCAACAAGAGCGAATATGATGCTCACTCAGGAGGCACAGAGTGAGTGCCAGAAGCCCCAGGAGAATAGCAGCATATACCAGTGTGATGCATACACTCATGGGAAGGGGGATTTGATCAGAGCCATCACCATCAGCCTGAATCTATATTTTTTCCATATAGGACATAAACATCCCTATGGAATTAAAATGAGCCATCTTCCATCTACCACACTGCTGCCGCAGACACCAGAGGACTCCATCTCTCCTTCCACCCTCCAGGAGTCCCTCCTTCTGGAGCAGGGGTTCGCAGAGATGCAAGGCCGGTTCATCCTGAAGCCCAGGCACCCGGCGCAGAATGAGCAAGGGAGAGGTGAGCCCCTTCCCTTTCTTCAGGTGTCTTCTCTTGGCTCATGTCTCCACTCTTGCCCACAAATTGAGGACACAGAGCTCACTCTCTCTGTGGGGGGTGGGGAGGAACAGTAGAGGCAAGAACCCCAAAACTGCACAGAATCGAGCTTAGAGAAACCCAAAGGTCTTAGGACCCAACTCACTTCGAGGAAGGTTGTGTGCTTGTTTTAATTCTCCTAGGTAGACTGTTAGCTCCTTTCTCTGTATCCCCAGAACACTTTCTACATATAATTATGTGAGTACACATCTGTGTGTCTTCTTAGAGCACAAGCTGTTTGTGGCCTGGAAACAGGTCTTCCCTATTCCAGGGTTTTATCTAGTATCTCAGGCCATCACAGGATGGAATCAAATGACTGCATGGCTTAGACGCACCTGGAATGGAAGAACTCCAGTGGAGTAAAGAGTTATGGAACTGAATTGGATTTATTCTGGGCTTAGGCTGAAGTGGCCTTGGGCTTACAGTTAGAATTCAAGTCTCAATTCTGCCCCCACTTTCCATGTCTGCTTCAGACACAGGTCAAGGCTGGAGCGAGACTGAATGTTTATGGTCAGGGCTTTTTCATCTTCCTTCTTGCTATTTTTTTCCCTACCATTCCAGTATTCTCCCATTGATATTTTTTTCTCTGATGAAAATGTGTTATTCATCTGAGAAGTATTGGGCCAAAATAGAAAGTATTTTATTGTTATGATTGTTATTCTATAAGCACAAAGTTTCAAAAATTTTATTTTTTAATATTCATACCCTAATTCAAGCATTAGGAAACATTAACCCAAATCTTGCCAGGACTGTTTAAGAAAGAATAGGTTTCCATAAAGTTAGCTTGTTTAATCATTCCTATATTTTTCATGGCTATAGCATATATTTTTATTAGTAATAGAGGCAACATGACCTCTAACAGCAAATAATGTACATTATGAAACATCCAGCTAAGCCTGAAAATACCTTGGAGAAAGTATAGGACTCAATGTGTACTTATTTTCTGTATACTCATAGAGTAGCTAGATATATAGCTTTGTACCAAGGGATACAACATTCTTCTTAAGAGCATTCTTCTTATTAAAGCTGAAGAATGGAATATATTTGGGTAGTTTTAGAAATAATAAAACTAGGGGAAGAGTAGGGAACCCAGGTTGCATACAACAACTCAACTTACATATTAACACGTATCTTCAGCAAATGCATACATTTTGATGTACAGGAATCTCCTCCTGGATTTAAGAATGTGTTTGCTTTCTTTCTTCTCTCCTTTTAAAATGGTAGCAGTATCAATTTCAGGGCAGGAAGAAAGAGCCTTAGTTAAGTAAAGTGGTAGCCATCCTTCATGATTGCCTACCTTCTAGAGGTTGCAAAATCAAATAGAGAATGGGAGTGATGTCTGCTTTGGAGGGGGAAGAGACTGATGTCTAGACTGCCTGAGGCCTTCTGAGCAAGGAAATTACTTTTATCAAGGCTGCCACGAGCCATGCCTTGTGCTGAGTAGTACATTACATTTAGTTCAACGAGTTGTAGGCAGCAGCATTTATGTTAAAGTTAAGCAAACCAAAGCTTAAGAATTTTTGAGTAATCTAACTAGGTGGCAGAACCAGGATGCTTCTGGTTCTTAGATCCTGGTCTCTCTGGTCAAGTGCCATGAGTGTTGCCACCCACGTGAGTGGATACGGTGATGCACTCACTACATCCCAGAAAAGCCCAGTGGACAGGTGTTTATGGGTGTTTGGTGAAATGTTGCTCAATTGTTTATCCTTCTACAGCTTGGCTCCTCTGTGGACTTTTAAAGAATTCAGTTATTTAAGCAGATTTTATAAGCAAATGTTAAGGTATCTTATAAGGAAAACATTCATAGCTGAGCAGTAGAAACTTTCAACTCAGCTTTTCACTGCAGATCACCTTTTCTTTGTAAAGCTCTTCTTCTGCATTCCTTTGATAGGGAATGTTGGGTAATTCAAAATCATCTCTGGAAATTGGGGATAAATCAGGCATTCATAATCTCTCATTGTTTTTCTTTTTGTATGTTTTCTTTCAAGCCTTGTACTGGTATGGTGTATATACATGTATGTTTGAGTATGTGTGAGGAATTGGGTGCAATTCATTGTGGATAAGACTCTTTTCCGTAAATATCAAACATAATTTACAAAAAAAAAAGTCATCTCTGGGTAGCTTGGTGGGGTATCACAAGAAAACACAGTCACCTGGAATCTTACCACATAGCCAGCATGTAATGACTATTTCCCAAGAACCCTGACTGCAGGGAGTCATCCTTGGGGATGGCCCAGAGCAGAGAAACCAGAGGCCACCTGAGAAGTGGGGTCAGGCGGATCATGTCATGAAAGGCAGATCCTTTTGATCATAGAAAGATGAGCACTCAGGGACACCTGGGTGGCTCAGTCGTTAAGCGTCTGCCTTCAGCTCAGGTCATGATCCCAGGGTCCTGGGATCTAGCCCTGCATCGGGCTCCCTGCTCAGTGGGAGTCTGCTTCTCCCTCTCCCAATCCCCCCCTGCTTGTGTTCCCTCTCTCGTTGTCTCTCTCTGCCAAATAAATAAATAAAATTAAAAAAAAAAAAAAAGTTGAGCACTCAGAAAGCCAAAGAGGAAACTTAAGACTGGAAGGAGACTCACTGTGAAAGCAGATGATTAACAAACTCAGCTTGATTTGAATACCAGATCTTTTGAGCTTTTAAAATCAGATCTGACACTGGATGAATCCACTAATCATACTTACCAATAGGAAACAAACAACAAGTTAAGTGCCTCATGATAAAGCACAACGGGCAGTAGATGGGATTGAAAGCAATGACACTAAGTCTGATCAAGTCTCTAGGTTTAACCATCAGTTTGCAGGATCTGGGGAACAACTGTTAACACCATAAGAATGCTATTGGCCAATTTCAAAACATGGAAAATTCTACACAAAAAATGCCTCAGTTTCCCTCTTCTAGCCATTGCAGTGAATGTACCATAGAATGGGAATGGTGAAAATAAGGTTAAGCGGGATGGCTGGGTGGCTCAGTTGTTAAGCGTCTCCCTTGGGCTCAGGTCATGATCCCTGTGTCTTGGGATTGAGCCCTGCGTTAGGCTCCATGCTGGGTGGGAAGCCTACTTTTCCCTCTCCCGCTCCCCCTGCTTGTGTTCCATCTCTCACTGGCTCTCTATCAAAAAATAAATAAAATCTTTAGAAAAAAAAAGAAAAGAAGGTTAAGCGAATAAAACAACAACTACTACTACTAATCTCACTTCTTCCTTAGATTACAGGCAGAAGACGGTTAAAAGCGGTTTTTTCAGAGACTGGGCCTGTTGTCTGGGCTCCAGCACTAGCCAGGACAGCCAGTGCACAACCCCACCTTCTTCAAAGCCAGGACAGCTCTTTGGAGTTTCCCTCATGGATGTGTGTAATAAAGACAACTTGCCCTTCCCAATCCTGGTAGGTCATCTCCTTTTGGTCTTCTATAGCCCTTCTGAGGAGGGGACACTCTGAGAGGCCACGTGTCCTCATCCAAATCTATTCCCAAATGGAGAAGTGATTAGACAGCCCCTGGCTTTGGCTGAGAAGCTCTGTTACTGTTATTTCAAAGAATAGACTCTGATTTAGGTCCTGCAGAGTCATGAGGCAAATACAACAGGAAAAGACATTCTCCATTCCACTTGGGTCTTGTTTCCACAAGGACATGCGGAGGCTTGTTCAGATCAGTCAAAATGGACTCTTTGTATGTGAGTCTCTGAGAGTCCACCTCATCTTCACACTCTCCCCTCATTGCCTTCCTGAACTCACAGGAGTCTCAAGTCTCCTTCAGCAGAGTCTACTCAGTCTAACAACTGTAAACATCTGACACGAGCATAGCCTCATCCTCTGGCAAATAGGAAACTATTAATCCTAACAGAATATGTCAAATGAAAGCCACAGAGTTTTGCCTGTGTTATCTCAAACCGCTCTAGTGAATTGTCAGTGTGGACATTCACTGAGTATTCGGTGTCTCTGCAAGCACTGTACGGGATGGAGGGAACGTTCTGCTAGCTATGAAGAAATGTATCCTATTAGCTACTTTGTTACCTGCTAGCTACTACCCCAGGTCCTTGCATCACAGCAAATTTAGAGGGTAGCTAGGATTATCATCCTCCACACTTCTTAAACGAATCGGAAAAGCCTCAGTACAGGATGTATGTGCCCCAGCTCACACAATAGATAAGTAGCATAATAGACTTCAGATCCATTTTATTCCCTGAGTCCAGCCCTTATTAAGATTCTACACAGCAGGGAGAGGACATGAAGATACAGCAAAAGACAATGAAAGACTCATGAGAAGGGAGGGTAATCAGAGAAAGAGAAGAGAGTTTCTGAGCCTGACTTTAAAAGAGGGAAAGAAATAGAACAAGTAGGAATGGAGTATACACTCACTTAAAGAGAAATAAACAAATGGGAAATGTGTATTTCCTAAATAGACTTCCATACTTGGGGGAGAGCATCTATGTAAGGCAATAATGAGAAAAGAATGGTAAAGTAGGAAACAGACGGTGATTGTGCAAAGGCCTTGAAGCAGAGAAGTTTGATTTAAGAGTAGAAACTCAATGGAAAGGAAAATCTGCTTAAAAGAAGTGTTTAAAATGTTTCAGTGTATGACTGTAAAATGGATATATGGGTAGAAAGTATATAGAGAGACACTGAAAAAAAAAACAATCTAAATTGACTTTAGTCCTTTCAGCTCAAAAACAGTGTACCATTGCATTCCCCTCCTCTTTCAAAACGGAGGCAAGCTTGAGCTCTGCGTTTGGGGTATGAGATGCGATATAATTTTCTTTTCTTCCTACAGGATATGCTTTCCTTTATTAATCAAAAAGGGTCACTCACAGAATGCATCTTCAGCAAATCACCCAATATAAAATCAACCAGGGTCCTAAAGGAGAAACTAAAATCTGGGGTCAAAGTGGACCTGTACAGCGAATCTGTTCATGTTGTCGCATCCGTCTTAAAGGTAGGGAAGGTTCTAGCATTATCCACACACGAGTAACTGAAGCTATGATTGGTGTCTTTCATCATGACTGCTCAAGAACCATAATGGGCATAATAGATTAAGAACCTGACAAGCTGAAAAACGCTTGACAAAATCAAAATTTAAGGAAGCTACTTTAGGAGTTAAAAGCCCCATATGTTAGAAATTCTTTCTGTTTTCACCACACACCGCCTACCCTGCCTTCACTCCTGAAGTCGCCATGCAAAATACTAAAACTGAAATGACTACTAGTCATGATAATAAATTTCAAAATACGCACTGACACATACACACTGTTTACCCATGCAAACATTCTCACCACCCTCCTAGTGAAGGCAAAGTTTCCAAAAGAAATAGAACAGGGAAAGAATTTAATCCATCCACCTTGGCACTTATGAACAGCTCTGAACAACCCTATGTTAACGTAGTAATGACTACAGTCTTAGAATCTCAGTCACATTTGGTCTTCCCTTGTCCCCCGTTAATGTTCGAAGATGTGATCAATAGCAAAGTCCAGAAATGACTTAGGTAACCACTCCTACACTGCGGTCATAGTGATACCCAGTAGTAATATACATATAGGCATCAGGAGACAGGAGAAGAATGCTGATACATTACGTAGCAAGATGAGTGTTGCCCTCTGTAAGGTGAGCACATGGAATCGATTTTCTAGCAAGAGTTAAGAGGTTCCGGGTGCCTGGGTGGCTCAGTTGGTTAAGCGACTGCCTTCGGCTCAGGTCACGATCCCGGAGTCCTGGGATCGAGTCCCACATCGGGCTCCCAGCTCAGCAGGGAGCCTGATTCTCCCTCTGACCCTATCCCCTCTCATGCTGTTTCTCTCTCTCTCTCTTTTAAATAAATAAATAAATAAAATCTTAAAAAAAAAATCATTAAAAAAAAAAAAAGAGTTAGGAGGTTCCTTCCTGATTCGGTGTTATAAGCACCGACTAGGAAGAGGGTATGCACATGTGGGCATAGTGCTTAGACATTTCTAAAGTTTTCTCTTCCTGAAGTTGATGGATCTTGGTGGAGAAACAGACTCTGCAACTTTGGCCTTGATAATATCATGTCAAAAAACTGGGAATGGACCTAATCTAGAAATGAATCTATCCTCAGGACCTCAGTGAGTCTACTATTAGACTCTCGACTTTTAGACAGTTAAGAAAAGGAAGAATGAAGGAATTATGAGAGTAGTTTTCTTCCAAGGAGCACACATAAACTGAGTGAGAAGACCTAGTTCTTTCCTAATATGTGTGCAAGAGCCCACCTGTTTCTGTTTCGATTGTTTCAGGCCTTTTCTTGCTAGAGTTAAGAGCTAGCACTGTGTCTAAAACAAGCAACATGGGTAAGCCTATTTCTGTCCAAGAAGCTAATAGGATTTAGGATGGTCTATAGCCAGACCCTGTCAGTTTGTGGTACTTTGCAAAAAAAGCACACAAAGAAAATAAGTTCCAGATGACAGAAGGGAGCTTTATCTTCATTTCTACCACAGCCTAAGCTCTGCTTTAATGCCTCTAAGATTTAGGGGGAGAATATCCAAGCACCTGATGCTGCGTGTGCAAGTCAATGGAGAGTCAGAGCCAAGCTCCGTGTGGGTCCCAGTTTGGGTATCTGTGAAGGAAGTGGGGGCTGAACTGAATTTTTTAACTACATATTTTCTCTGTAATATTTCCAATACATATTTTCTGTAATATATATACATATTTATTTTTATCTCCACAAGGATTTCCTAAGAAATATCCCAGGATGTATATTTTTGTCTGATCTCTATGACAAATGGCTCGGTGTTATTGATCAAGGGAACGAAGAGGAGAAGATGACTGCAGCGCGGAGGTAATGATGCAATAATTACTCTACTCTGGTCACATCTCCAAAATACAGCCAACATACTATTAGGAAAACATTGGCTTACGTTTTGCAGCTTTGCCCACTATAATCATGACCAATGTCAAAGAGTTTCAATTCTTCAAAGCCATGGGGGTCAGCTTCAGAATAGAGGCACGCTTTAGGGTTATTATTGTTCTTCTCCTGATCTTATTAATGTGGACTCCTTGGCCGTTTGACACCTTCTGGATCCATGAAACTTGTAGACGAAATTCCCTGGTTCAAGACACATGCAAGAGCATCAACTGCCAGGGCTATGACCTTAAAAGTCTGTCAAACATTTAACTAACCAGAGAAGTGTTTATCTGGCTCAGGAACTAAATTCAGTGCAACAATTTTGTCTACATTCATGCCTGGAACTCTGCTAGAGAGGGGTTGTGTGCTAGATATACAAGGATGTATCCTTTTCCCTGTCTCTGTTTTTCCAACCTCTTAAGTGGAATCATTTACCTAATTTAAAGTGTGTTTTTCTGACCTTAGGCTTTTAGCCCAGCTGCCAAGAGCAAATATTGTTCTCTTGCGATACCTTTTTGGAGTGCTATACAACATTGAGCAACATTCCTCATCCAATCAGATGACAGCTTATAATTTATCCGTTTGTATAGCCCCAAGCGTTCTTTACCCACCTGATTCCGGCACCTTGGAATTGGAAGACAACTTGATAAAAAAGGTAATGAGAGCTCTCATTTTTGTCCCCCAAGGGGTAGAATCCCTACTTTGAACCGGACATGTGCAGTAGTAACTCTGACGGATGGAACTTTGTGAAGTGCACATTTTCGTTAGGCCCCTGTGGAGTGGCAGAGTTCTTTATCCTACTCTGGCGGGGTGTGGGAAGGGGTGTCGTTAAACGGGAAACTCGGAGCAGTCGAGTCACTTCTTCCCCCTCCAGGAGACTAAACACTAGACTGACTAAACGAGAGAGAGAAGAGTCGTGTGATACGATAGGAAAGAACCTGGGCTTTGGAGCTTTACCAGTCAAGGTTCAACTCTCAGCCTAATCCCTGAGGGACTCGTAACCTTGGGCAAAGCCATGGTTTCCTCACTACACAATGGCGACAACAGCCAGCTCCTCCGGTCATCACTGGCACATCCTGGGTGGCTTGGGCAATATGAGCCCCCATGGCTCCAAACACATTGGCCTTCCTCTGCCAATTGTGGCTCATCTAGAAAAGTACTCAGCTACTATTTCACCTCTGCTACGTCATATGGAAACTAGCAAGAGATTCCAGAATATCCTAATAAGATGACAGGTCTTCCCCAAGCTCACCCAGAGAGAGCGAGCATGAGGCAAAGCAATGCGTGAGAAGGGACTGAAGTTAGACAGACAGATACATTTTCTCTCCAGCTGTGTGGGTTTTCCCTCACAACCCCACCAAAATCTCTGCTTCCCAACTTTAAGATACTTCTTCATTTAAGAAATGGTTTTCTTAAGTTTTTGTTCATACTTTATATAAAGTTTCATAAGATGTTATACATCAGTTACAGCTCAATAAAACTGGAAACAAAATTTAAAAACAAAAAATAAGTAAACTTTAATAAGGTAGGCTACTTTGAAAATTATCCTTGTTTTATTTATATTTTGATATGTATTTATTTGAGAGAGGGAAAGAGAGAGCGTGAGCGGGGCAGGGGCAGATGAAGAGGGAGAGGGAGAGGGAGAAGCCCAAGCCGATTCCCCGCTGAGCACGGAGCCCAAAGTTGTCTCCATGTTGGGCTGGATCTCACCATCATGAGATAGTGATCTGAGCCAGAATCAAGAGTCAGATGCTCAACTGAGGGGCCCCCAAAATTATCCTAGGCTTAATGATGTAACCACTGATACCAAAATGTTGGCTATTAAACTAGGCCACATATTAAAACTTTAGCCTACTGATTAGCAGTATTTTAAAATGTGTACCCAAAGTACACGGAAAAGTATCACTCTTCCTAAGTTATTTCTTAGAGAATTCTGGTCTCTGTTTTTTATTTTATTATTTTTTTTAAGATTATATTTATTTTCTTGACAGAGGCAGACACAGCGAGAGAGGGAACACAAGCAGGGGGAGTGGGAGAGGGAGAATCAGGCTTCCCGCTGAGCAGGGAGCCCGATGTAGGGCTGATCGCATCACCCTGGGATCATGAGCTGAGCTGAAGGCAGACGCTTGACCGATTGAGCCACCCAGGCGCTCCTGGTCTCTATGTATTTTTATCAGTTCTGAATTTTTCTGGGAAATCTTTCACATTCTTTCTTAGATCCAAGGTCTGTATACATAATGTGATTTATAACTATGCCCTATGGAAAAGAGCACCCCATTCTTGTCTTTTTGTGTTACAGATTTCTCTTGTACAATTTCTCATTGAAAATTGCCTTAAAATATTTGGAGAAGACATCACTTCCCTCTTGGGAGAGAACTCAATGAGTCGTGGTAACAGCGAGCAGGCTGCAGGTACCGGGAATAATTTTATTGGCTTTAGTGAGAAGCAGACAGCAAGGCTGCCAGGGGTCATGGGAGATGCTTAGACAGAGCTGTTCTGGAGCCCAGAGCATCGCCAGGGCAAGGATTTCCATGGGCTCCTTCTTCCGAAGGCTGGCTCACAGGTCAAGGGAGGTTCCACACTGTTGTGAGACCAAAGAAAGGATAAGATGAGGTCTCTGACTTCAAGAAGCTTCTAGCGTAGATCATAACAGAATTAGGACTCATCATGGTATGCCACAGTGTTTGGGAACTTTTTCTCACAAAATTTAAATGGGTGCTATATATATATCTATGTAGTTATATATATTACATAATTATATACTGATACTATATAAGTATATAAACATAATGTATATATTTATGTATATTACATGTGCGCTGGTTGAAGCCAGAGAAAGGGGCCTTTCTTCCCCTCCCTCCTCTTTTGGCTCAGGGGCTCTTGAGGCACCACAGGATTCCAGTGCCCTTTGAAATGGGTTGAAAAGAATTGGCATCTTTGAGAAAAAAGGACTTGACTTGATGTCAAACAACCTCTCCAGAGTGTAAATTCCTGTACCCCCATTTACCAGCTATATTATCTTTGGCCCGTTATAGCAGCTAAGCATCAGTTTATTCATCTCTAAAATGTGGATAAAAATAATGTCTAAATCTTAGAATTGTGGTGTAGAATAAATAAGATGATGGATGTAATTCAAAAAAAGCCATTAATAGCACTAGGAGAAGTGCCCCTGACACTAGAGGTAGTATGATTTGAGCCTAGCTAATCAGACCTAACTGGCAGCAGTCCACCTTAGAAGGTAGACTTTCGATTCAGAACCTGGAGACACGTATCATCAATCCCTCCATATTTTTGACATTTCTTGTTTTCATGACACGTACCACATACTTTGAGGAAAGTTTTAGGAAAATACAAGTCATCAGGAATTAAGATGAGTCTGAGGCACCTGGGTGGCTCAGTCGTTAAACATCTGCCTTCAGCTCAGGTCATGATCCTGGGGTCCTGGTACCGAGCCCCGAGTCGGGCTCCCTGCTCCGAGGGAAGCCTGCTTCTCCCTCTCCCCCGCCCCCTACTTGTGTTCCCTCTCTTGCTGTCTCTCTCTCTCTCTGTCAAAAAATAAATAAAATCTGTAAAAAAAAAAAAAAAAAAAAAAGGAAAAAGAAGGTTCAACATATTAAACAACAACTACTACTACGAGTACTCTCACTTCTTCCTTAGACTCCAGCCTGAAGACTGTGAAAACCCGTTCTTTCAGAGATAGGGCGTTTTGTCGGGGTTCCAGCACTTCCCAGCACAACCAGTGCACAGCCCCACCTTCCGCAAAGCCAGGACAGCTCTTTGGAGTTCCCCTCATGGATGTGTGTGATAAAGACAACTTCTCCTTCCCAATTCTGGTAGGTCATCTCATTTTGGTCTTCAATAGCCCTCCTGAGAAGGGGAAACTCTGAGAGGCCAAGCGTCCTCATCCAAATCTATCCCCAAATGAAGATGTCATTAGACAGCCCCTGGCTTTGGTTGAGAAGCTCTGTTACTGTTATTTCAAAGAATAGAATCTGATTTCGGTCCTGCAGAGTCATGAGGCAAATACAACAGGAAAAGTCATTCTTCTCCATTCCACTTGGGTCTTGTTTCCACAAAGACATGCGGAGGCTTGTTCAGATCAGTCAAAATGGACTCTGTGTATGTGAGTCTCTGAGAGTCCACCTCATCTTCACACTCTCCCTTCATTGCCTTCCTGAACTCACATGAGTCTCAAGTCTCCTTCAGCGGAGTCTACTCAGTCTAACAATTGTAAACATCTGACACAAGCATAGACTCATCCTCTGGCAAATAGGAATCTGTTAATCCTAACAGAATATGTCAAATGAAAGCCACAGAGTTTGGTCTGTGTTATCTCAAACTGCTGTAGTGAATTGTCAGTGTGGACATTCACTGAGTATTCGGTGTCTCTGCAAGTACTGTACGGGATGTAGGGAACGTTCCGCTAGCTATGAAGAAATGTATCATCTTAGCTAGCATGTTACCTGCTAGCTACTACCCCAGGTCCTTGCATCACAGCAAATTTAGGGGCTAGCTAGGATTATCATCCTCCGCACTGCCTAAACGAATCAGAAAAGCCTCAGTACAGGATGTGTGTGACCCAGCTCACACAATAGATAAGTAGCATAATAGACTTCAGATCCGTTGGATTCCCTGAGTCCAGCCCTTATTAAATTTCTACACAGCAGGGAGAGGACATGAAGATACAGCAAAAGACAATGAAAGACTCATGATAAGGGAGGGTAATCAGAGAAGGGGAAGAGAGTTTCTGAGCCTGACTTTAAAAGAGGGAAGGAAATAGAACAAGTAGGAAAGGAGTATACAGTCACTTAAAGAGAAATAAACAAATTGGAAATGAGTATTTCCTAAATAGACTTCCATACTTGCGGAAAAGCATGTATGTAAGGGACAAATGTGAAAAGAATGGGAAAGTAGGAAACAGACGGTGATTCCGCAAAGGCCTTGAGACAGAGAAGTTTGATTTAAAAGTGTAAACTTAGTGGAAAATCTGATTAAAAGAAGTGTTGAAAATGTTTCAGTGTATGACTGTAAAATGGATATATGGGTAGAAAGTATATAGAGAGACACTGAAAAAACAGCAATCTAAATTGACTTTAGTCCTTCCCGCTCTAAAACATTGTACCATTACATTCCCCTTTTCTTTCAAAACGGAGGCAGGCATGGTATATGAGATGCCATATACTTTTCTTTTCTTCCTACACGGTATGCTTTCCTTTATTAATCAAAAACGGCCACTCGCAGAAGGCATATTCAGAAACTCAGCCAATATAAAATCCCGCAGAGTCCTAACGGAGAAACTAAATTCTGGGATCAAAGTGAACCCGTACAGGAATCTATTCATGTGTTCGCATCCGTCTTAAAGGTAGGGAAGGTTCTAGCATTATCCACATGTGAGTAACTGAAGCGATGATGGGTGTCCTTCATCATGACTGCTCAAGAACCATAACGGGCATAGTAGATTAAGAACCTGACAAGCTAAAAAACGCTTGACAAAATCAAAATTTAAGGAAGCTACTTTAGGAGTTAAAAGCCCCATGTGTTAGAAATACTTTCTGTTTTCACCACACACGGCCCTCCGCACCTTCACTCCTGAAGACTCCATGCAAAATACTAATACTGAAATGACTACAGTCATGATACTAAATTTCAAAATACGCACTGACACAAACACACTGTTTACCGAAGCAGACATCCTCACCACCCTCCTAATGAAGGCAAACTTTCCAAAAGAAATAGAACAGGGAGGGGCGCCTGGGTGGCTCAGATGGTTAAGCGTCTGCCTTCGGCTCAGGTCATGATCCCAGTGTCCTGGGATCGAGCCGCGCATCGGGCTTCCTGCTCAGCGGGGAGCCTGCTTCTCCCTCTCCTTCTGACTCTCTCCCTCCTCATGCTCTCTCCCTCTCTATCTCTGTGTCTCAAATGAATAAGAAAAAAAAAAAAAAAGAAGAAATAGAACAGGGAAAGAATTTAATCCATGCAGCTTGGCACTTATGAACAGCTCTGAACAACCCTATGTTAATGTAGTACTGACTACAGTCTTAGAATCTCAGTCACATTTGGTCTTCCCTTGTCCCTCATTAATGTTCGAAGATGTGATCCATAGCAAAGTCCAGAAATGACTTAGGTAACCACTCCTACACTGGGGCCATAGTGATATCCAGTAGTAATATACATATAGGCATCAGGAGACAGGAGAAGAATGATGATACACTAGGTAGCAAGATGAGTGTTGCCCTCTGTAAGGTGCACACATGGAATCGATTTTCTAGCAAGAGTTGGTAGGTTCTTTCCTGATTCTGTGTTATAAGCACTGACTAGGAGGAGCGTGAGCACTTCTGGGTATAGTGCTTAGACATTTCTAAAGTTTTCTCTTCCTGAAGTTGACGGATCTTGGTGGAGAATCAGACTCTGCAACCTTGGCCTTGATAATATCATGGCAAACTAACTGGACAATTGTCCTAAACTAGAAATGAATCTATCCTCAGGACCACAGTGAGTCTGCCATTAGACTCTCGACTTTTAGACAGTTAAGAAAAGGAAGAATGAAGCAATTGTGAGAGTAGCTTTCTTCCAGGGAGCACACATACTCCGAATGAGAAGACGTATTTCTTGCCTAATGTGTGTGCAAGAGCCCACCTGTTTGTGTTTTGATTGTTTCAGGCCTTTTCTTGCTAGAATTAAGAGCTGGCGCTGTGTCTAAAACAAGCAACATGAGTATGTGTATTTCTGTCCAGGAAGCTAATAGGATTTAGGATGGTCTATAGCCAGACCCTGTCAGTTTGTGGTACTTTGCAAAAAAAGCACACACACAAAATAAGTTCCAGATGATAGAAGGGAGCTTTATCTTCATTTCCACCACAGACTAAGCTCTGCTTTATGCCTCTAAGTTTTAGTGGGAGAAAATCCAAGCACCTGCTCCTGCGTGTGCAAGTCAATGGAGAGTCAGAGCCGAGCACCGAGTGGGTCACAGTTTGGGTATCTGTGAAGGAAGTGGGGGCTGAACTGAATTTTTTAACTACATATTTTCTCTGGAATATTTCCATTACATATTTTCTATAACATATATACATAGTTTTTTTTTTTTTTTTAATCTCCCTAAGGATTTTCTTAGAAATATACACGGAAGTATATTTTTATCTGATCACTATGACAAATGGCTCGGTGTTATTGATCAAGGCAACGAAGAGGAGAAGATAACTGCAGCCCAGAGGTAATGATGCAATAATTACTCTGGTCACATCTCCAAAATACAGCCAACATACTATTCGGCAAACATTGGCTTACGTTTTGCAGCTTTGCTCAGTATAATCATGACCAATGCCAAAGAGTTTCCATTCTTCACACCCATGGGGGCCAGGTTCATAATGGAGACACACTTTAGGGCCATTATCGTTCTTTTCCTGATCTTATTAATGTGGAATCCTTGGCCGTTTTACATCTTTTGGATACATGAAACTGTTAGGGGAAATCCCCTGGTCCAAGACAGATGCAAGAACATCAATTGCCAGGGCTATGACCTTAAAGGTCTGTCAAACATTTAACTAACCAGAGAAGATTTTATCTGGCGCAGGAACTGAAGTCAGGGCAACAATTTTGTATACATTCATGCCTGGAACTCTGCTACAGCGGGTTGTGTGCTAGATGTACAAGGATGTATCCTGTTCCCTGTCTTTTTTTTCAACCTCCTAAGTGGAATCACTTGCCTAATTTAAATGTGTATTTTTCTGACCTTAGGCTTTTACCCCAGCTGCCAAGAGGAAATGTTGTTCTCTTGGGATACCTTTTTGGAGTGCTATACAACATTGAGCAACATTCCTCATCCAATCAGATGACAGCTTATAATTTATCCGTTTGTATAGCCCCAAGCGTTCTTTACCCACCTGATTCCGGCACCTTGGAATTGGAAGACAACTTGATAAAAAAGGTAATGAGAGCTCTCATTTTTGCCCCCATGGGGTAGAATCCCTACTTTGAACCGGACATGTGCAGTAGTAACTCTGACAGAAGGAACTTTGTGAAGTGCACATTTTCATTAGGCCCCTGTGGAGTGGCAGAGTTCTTTAGGCTTCTCTGGCGGGGTCTGGGAAGGGGTGTCGTTAAACGGGAAACTCGGAGCAGTCGAGTCACTTCTTCCCCCTCCAGGAGACTAAACACTAGACTGACTAAACGAGAGAGAGAAGAGTCATGTGATACGATAGGAAAGAACCTGGGCTTTGGTCTTCACCAGTCAAGGTTCAACTCTCAGCCTAATCCCTGAGGGACTCGTAACCTTGGGCAAAGCCATGGTTTCCTCACTACACAATGGCGACAACAGCCAGCTCCTCTGGTCATCACTGGCACATCCTGGGTGGCTTGGGCAATATGAGCCCCCATGGCTCCAACCACATTGGCCTTCCTCTGCGAATTGTGGCTCATCTAGAAAAGTACTCAACTACTATTTCACCTCTGCTACATCTTATGGAAACTAGCAAAAGATTCCAGACCATCCTAGCAAGATGACAGGTCTTCCCCAAGCTCACACAGAGAGAGCCAGCATGAGGCAAACCAATGCGTGAGAAGGTACTGAATTTAGACAGACAGATACATTTTCTCTCCAGCTGTGTGGGTTTTCCCTTACAACCCGACCAAAATCTCTGCTTCTCAACTTTAAGATTCTTCTTCATTTAAGAAATGGTTTTCTTAAGTTTTCGTTCATACTTTATAAAGTTTCATAAGATGGTATACATCAGTTACAGCTCAATAAAACTGGAAACAAAATTTAAAAACAAAAAACAGGTAAACTTTAATAAGGTAGGCTACTTTGAAAATTATCCTAGTTTTATTTATTTTTTGATATTTATTTTTTTGAGAGAGGGAAAGAGAGCGTGAGCGGGGCAGGGGCAGAAGAAGAGGGAGAGGGAGAAGACCAAGCCAATTCCCTGCTGAGCCCAGAGCCAAAAGTTGGCTCCTTGTGGGGCTGGATCTCACCACTATGAGATTGTGATCTGAGCCGAAATCAAGAGTCAGACGCTCAACTGAGGGGCCCCGAAATTTATCCTACGCTTAAAGATGTAACCACTGATCCCAAAATGTTAGCTATGAAACTAGGCCACACATTAAAACTTTAGCCCACTGATGAGCAGTATTTCAAAATGTGTACCCAAAGTACACGGGAAAGCATCCGTCATTCTAAGTTATTTCCTAGAGAACTCTGGTCTCTATTTTTTTTTTTTTTTTTTTAAGATTTTATTTATTTACTTGACAGAGAGGGAACTCAAGCAGGGAGAGTGGGAGAGGAAGAAGCAGGCTTCCCGCTGAGCAGGGAGCCAGATATAGGGCTGATCCCAGCACCCTGTGATCATAAGCTGAGCCGAAGGGAGACGCGTAACTGACTGAGCTACCCAGGTGCCCCTGGTTTCTACATATTTTTATCAACTCTGAATTTTTCTGATAAGTCCTTCACGTTTTTTCTTAGATCCAAGGTCTATATACAAAATGTGTTTTCTAACTATGGCCTATGGAAAAGAACACCCCATTTTTGTCTTTTTGTGTTACAGATTTCTCTTGTACAATTTCTCCTTGAAAATTGCCTCAGGATATTTGGAGAAGACATCACTTCCTTCTTGGGAGAGAAGTCAATGAGTTGTGGTAAGAGCGAGAAGACTGCAGCTACCGGGAATAATTTAATTGGCTTTAATGACAAGCAGACAGCAAGGCTGCCAAGGGTCATGGGAGATGCATAGACAGTGCTGTTCTGGAGCCCAGAGCATCGCCAGGGCAATGATTTCCATGTGCTCCTTCTTCCAAAGGCTGGCTCACAGGTCAAGGGAGGTTCCACACTGTTGTGAGACCAAAGAAAGGATAAGATGAAGTCTCTGACTTCAAGAAGTTCCTAGGGTAGATCATAAAGGCATTAGGACTCATCATGGTATGCCATAGTGTCTGGGAATTTTTTCTAACAAAATTCTAAAAGGGTGCTATACATATATATACATATATATTTGTATATATATGTATATATGTAATAACGAATCAGAAAAGCCTCAGTACAGGATGTATGTATATGTATGTATATATTTGTATATGCATATATATATGTAAAACACATCATACATATGTATGTAGTTATATATAATATATAATTAGATACTTATACTATATAAATATATTATCATAATATATATATTTATGTATATTAGAAGTGCTCTGGTTGAAGCCAGAGAAGGGGCCTTTCTTCCCCTCCGTCCTCTTTTGGCTCAGGGGCTCTTGAGGCACCACAGGATTCCAGTGGCTTTAAAATGGGTTGAAAAGAACTGGCATCATTGAGAAAAAAGGACTTGACTTGATGTCAAACTACCTCTCCAGAGTGTAAATTCCTGTGCCCGCATTTACCAGCTATATTATCTTTGCCCAGTTATACCAGCTCAGCATCAGTTAATTCATCTCTAAATATGGATAAAAATAATGTCTAAATCTTAGAATTGTTGTGTAGAATAAATAAGATGATGGATGTAATCCAAAAAAAGCCATTAATAGGACTAGGAGAAGTGCCCCTGAGACTAAAGCTAGTATGTTTTGAGCCTAGCTAATAACAGCTGTCAGCAGTCCACCTTGGAAGGTAGACTTTCGATTCAGAACCTGGAGACACGTATCATCAATCCCTCCATATTTCTGACATTTCTTGGTTTTATGATGCTTACGACATTGATTTGAGGAAATCTTTAGGAAAATACAAGTCATCAGGAATTAAGATGAGTCTGGGGCACCTGGGTGGCTCAGTCGTTAAGTAACTGCCTTCAGCTCAGGTCATGATCTCGGGGTCCTGGGATCGAGCCCCGCATCGGGCTCCCTGCTCCGAGGGAAGCCTGCTTCTCCCTCTCCCCGTCCCCCTGCTTGTGTTCCCTCTCTCGCTGTCTCTCTCCCTCTATCAAAATATAAATAAAATCTGTAAAAAAAAAAAAAAAAAAAAGGAAGAAGAAGTTTCAGCGGATTAAAGAACAACTACTACTACTAGTACTCTCTCTTCTTCCTTAGACTCCGGCCAGAAAACTGTGAAAAGCTGTTCATTCAGAGACAGGGCCTTTTGGTGGGGCTCCAGCACTTGCCAGCAAAACCAGTGCACAACCCCACATTCTGCAAAGCCAGGAGAGCTCTTTGGAGTTTGCCTCATGGTTGTGTGTTATAAAGACAACCTGGCCTTCCCAATTCTGGTAGGTCATCTCATTTTGGTCTTCTATAGCTCTTCTGAGGTGGGGAAACACTGAGAGGCCACGTGTCCTCATCCAAATCTATCCCCAAATAGAGAAGTCCTTAGACAGCCCTGGTTTTGGATCAGAAGCTCTGTTACTGTTATTTCAAGGAACAGAATCTGACTTAGGTCCAGCAGAGTCATGAGGCAAATACAACAGGAAAAGACATTCTTGTCCATTCTACTTGGGTCTTCTTTCCGCAAAAACCCACCGAGGCCTGTTCAGATGAGTCAAAATGACTCTGTGTATGTGAGTCTCTGAGAGTCCACCTCATCTTCACACTCTCCCTTCATTGCCTTCCTGCACTCACATGAGTCTCAAGTCTCCTTCAGCGGAGTCTACTCAGTCTAACAACTGCAAACATCTGACACGAGCATAGACTCATCCTCTGGCAAATAGGAATCTGTTAATCCTAACAGAATATGTCAAATGAAAGCCACAGAGTTTGGCCTGTGTTATCTCAAACTGCTCTAGTGAATTGTCAGTGTGGACATTCACTGAGTATTTGGTGTCTCTGCAAGCACTGTACGGGATGTAGGGAACGTTCTGCTAGCTATGAAGAAATGTATCGTATTAGCTAGCATGTTACCTGCTACCTACTACCCCAGGTCCTTGCATCACAGCAAATTTAGCGGCTAGCTAGGATTATCATCCTCCGCACTGCCTAAACGAATCAGAAAAGCCTCAGTACAGGATGTATGTGCCCCAGCTAACACAATAGATAAGTAGCATAATAGACTTCAGATCCGTTGGATTCCCTGAGTCCAGCCCTTATTAAGATTCTACACAGCAGAGAGAGGACATGAAGATAGAGCAAAAGACAATGAAAGACTCATGAGAAGGGAGGGTAATCAGAGAAGGGGAAGAGAGTTTCTGAGCCTGACTTTAAATAAACGGAAGGAAATAGAACAAGTAGGAATGGAGTATACAGTCACTTAAAGAGAAATAAACAAATGGGAAATGAGTATTTCCTAAATAGACTTCCATACTTGGGGAAGAGCATCTACGTAAGGGAATAATGAGAAAAGCATGGTAAAGTAGGAAACACATGGTGATTGCACAAAGGCCTTGAAGCAGAGAAGTTTGATTTAAGAGTGGAAACTCAATGGAAAGGAAAATCTGATTAAAAGAAGTGTTTAAAATGTTTCAGTGTATGACTGTAAAATGGATATTTCGGTAGAAAGTATATAGAGAGACACTGAAAAAAAAAAAAAAAACTAACTAAATTGCCTTTGGTCCTTCCCGCTCTAAAACAGTGTACCATTACATTCCCCTCCTCTTTTAAAACAGAGGCTAGCTTGTGCTCTGTGTTTGTGTATATGAGATGCCATATACTTTTCTTTTCTTCCTACAGGGTATGCTTTCCTTTATTCATAAAAAAGGGCCTCTCACAAAAGGCATCTTCAGAAAATCAGCCAATATAAAATCCTGCCATGTGCTAAAGGAGAAACTAAATTCTGGCGTCAAAGTGAACCCGTACAGCCAATCTGTTCATGTGGTCGCATCCGTCTTAAAGGTAGGGAAGGTTCTAGCATTATCCACACACGAGTAACTGAAGCTATCATTGGTGTCCTTCATCATGACTGCTCAAGAACCATAACGGGCATAATAGATTAAGAACCTGACAAGCTGAAAAACGCTTGACAAAATCAAAATGTAAGGAAGCTACTTTAGGAGTTAAAAGCCCCATGTGTTAGAAATACTTTCTGTTTTCACTACACACCGCCCTCCCCACCTTCACTCCTGAAGACTCCATGCAAAATACTAATACTGAAATGACTACTAGTCATGATAATAAATTTCGAAATACGCACCGATACATACACACAGTTTACCCATGAAAACATCCTCACCCCCCTCCTAATGAAGGCAAACTTTCCCAAAGAAATAGAACAGGGAAAGAATTTAATCCATCCACCTTGGCACTTATGAACAGCTCTGAACAACCCTATGTTAACGTAGTAATGACTACAGTCGTAGAATCTCAGTCACATTTGGTCTTCCCTTGTCCCCCGTTAATGTTCGAAGATGGGATCAATAGCAAGGTCCAGAAATGTCTTAGGTAACCACTCCTACACTGGGGTCATAGTGATATCCAGTAGTAATATACATACAGGCATCAGGAGACAGGAGAAGAATGATGATACACTAGGTAGCAAGATGAGTGTTGCCCTCTGTAAGGTGCACACATGGAATCGATTTTCTAGCAAGAGTTAGGAGGTTCTTTCCTGATTCCGTGTTATAAGCACCGACTAGGAAGAGGGTGAGCACTTGTCGGGAGAGTGCTTAGACATTTCTAAAGTTTTCTCTTCCTGAAGTTGACGGATCTTGGTGGAGAATCAGACTCTGCGACCTTGGCCTTGATAATATCATGGCAAACTAACTGGACAATTGGCCTAAATTAGAAATGAATCTATCCTCAGGACCACAGTGAGTCTGCCTTTAGACTCTCGACTTTTAGACAGTTAAGAAAAGGAAGAATGAAGCAATTGTGCGAGTAGCTTTCTTCCAGGGAGCACACATACCCCGAGTGAGAAGACCTAGTTCTTTCCTAATATGTGTGCAAGAGCCCACCTGTTTGTGTTTTGATTGTTTCAGGCCTTTTCTTGCTAGAGTTAAGAGCTAGCACCTTGTCTAAAACAAGCAACATGGGTATGTGTATTTCTGTCCAGGAAGCTAATAGGATTTAGGATGGTCTACAGCCAGACCCTGTCAGTTTGTGGTACTTTGCAAAAAAAAAAAAAAAGCACACACACAAAATAAGTTCCAGATGATAGAAGGGAGCTTTATCTTCATTGCCACCACAGGCTAAGCTCTGCTTTTATGCCTCTAAGTTTTAGCGGGAGAAAATCCAAGCACCTGCTCCTGCGTGTGCAAGTCAATGGAGAGTCAGAGCCGAGCTCCGTGTGGGTCCCAGTTTGGGTATCTGTAAAGGAAGTGGGGGCTGAACTGAATTTTCTAACTACATATTTTCTCTGGAATATTTCCAATACATATTTTCTATAATATGTACACATATTTTTTTATCTCCCTAAGGACTTTCTAAGAAATATCCCGGGAAGTGTATTTTTATCTGATCTCTATGACAAATGGCTCGGTGTTATTGATCAAGGCAACAAAGAGGAGAAGATAACTGCAGCCCAGAGGTAATGATGCCATAATTACTCTACTCTCGTCACATCTCCAAAATACAGCCAACATACTATTAGGAAAACATTGGCTTACGTTTTGCAGCTTTGCCCACTATAATCATGACCAACACCAAAGAGTTTCAAGTCTTCACACCCATGGGGCCCAGCTTCAGAATCGAGGCACGCTTTAGGGCTATTATTGTTCTTCTCCTGATCTTATTAATGTGGACTCCTTGGCCGTTTGACACCTTCTGGATCCATGAAACTTGTAGACGAAATTCCCTGGTTCAAGACACATGCAAGAGCATCAACTGCCAGGGCTATGACCTTAAAAGTCTGTCAAACATTTAACTAACCAGAGAAGTGTTTATCTGGCTCAGGGACTGAATTCAGTGCAACAATTTTGTCTACATTCATGCCTAGAACTCTGCTAGAGCGGGTTGTGTGCTAGATATACAAGGATGTATCCTGTTCCCTGTCTCTGTTTTTCCAACCTCCTAAGTGGAATCACTTGCCTAATTTAAAAGTGTGTTTTTCTGACCTTAGGCTTTTAGCCCAGCTGCCAAGAGCAAATGTTGTTCTCTTGCGATACCTTTTTGGAGTGCTATACAACATTGAGCAACATTCCTCATCCAATCAGATGACAGCTTATAATTTATCCGTTTGTATAGCCCCAAGCGTTCTTTACCCACCTGATTCCAGCACCTTGGAATTGGAAGACAACTTGATAAGAAAGGTAATGAGAGCTCTCATTTTTGTCCCCCAGGGGGTAGAATCCCTACTTTGAACCGGACATGTGCAGTAGTAACTCTGACGGATGGAACTTTGTGAAGTGCACATTTTCATTAGGCCCCTGTGGAGTGGCAGAGTTCTTTATCCTACTCTGGCGGGGTCTGGGAAGGGGTGTCGTTAAACGGGAAACTCGGAGCAGTCGAGTCACTTCTTCCCCCTCCAGGAGACTAAACACTAGACTGACTAAACGAGGGAGAGAAGAGTCGTGTGATACGATAGAAAAGAACCTGGGCTTTGGAGCTTCACCAGTCAAGGTTCAACTCTCAGCCTAATCCCTGAGGGACTCGTAACCTTGGGCAAAGCCATGGTTTCCTCACTACACAATGGCGACAACAGCCAGCTCCTCCGGTCATCACTGGCACATCCTGGGTGGCCTGGGCAATATGAGCCCCCATGCCTCCAAACACATTGGCCTTCCTCTGCCAATTGTGGCTCATCTAGAAAAGTACTCAGCTACTATTTCACCTCTGCTATGTCATATGGAAACTAGCAAGAGATTCCAGAATATCCTAATAAGATGACAGGTCTTCCCCAAGCTCACCCAGAGAGAGCGAGCATGAGGCAAAGCAATGCGTGAGAAGGGACTGAAGTTAGACAGACAGATACGTTTTCTCTCCAGCTGTGTGGGTTTTCCCTCACAACCCCACCAAAATCCCTGCTTCCCAACTTTATGATACTTCTTCATTTAAGAAATGGTTTTCTTAAGTTTTTGTTCATACTTTATAAAGTTTCATAAGATGGTATGCATCAGTTACAGCTCAGTAAAACTGGAAACAAAATTTAAAAGCAAAAAATAAGTAAACTTTAATAAGGTAGGCTACTTTGAAAATTATCCTTGTTTTATTTATTTTTTGATATGTATTTATTTGAGAGAGGGAAAGAGAGAGCGTGAGCGGGGCAGGGGCAGAAGAAGAGGGAGAGGGAGAGGGAGAAGCCCAAGCCCATTCCCCGCTGAGCACGGAGCCCAAAGTTGGCTCCATGTGGGGCTGCATCGCACCACCCTGAGATCGTGATCTGCGCCGAAATCAAGAGTCAGACGCCCAACAGAGGGGCCCCGAAATTTATCCTAGGCTTAAAGACGTAACCACTGATCCCAAAATGTTAGCTCTTAAACTAGGCCACGCATTATGACTTTAGCCCACGGATGGGCCGTATTTTAAAATGTGTACCCAAAGTACACGGGCAAGTATCACTCTTTCTAAGTTATTTCTGAGCGAACTCTGGTTTCTATGTGTTTCTGGTTTTTTGTGTGTTTTTTTTAAACTTTTATTTATTTACTTGACTGAGAGAGACACAGCGAGAGAGGGAACACAAGCAGGGGGAGTGGGAGAGGGAGATGCAGGCTTCGCGCTTAGCAGGGAGCGCGATGTAGGGCTGATCCCAGCACCCTGGGATTATGACCTGAGCCGAACGCAGACGCTTAACCGACTGAGCCACCCAGGCGCCCCTGGTTTCTACATATTTTTATCAACTCTGAATTTTTCTGAGAAGTCCTTCCCATTTTTTCTTAGATCCAAGGTCTGTATACAAAATGTGATTTATAACTATGCCCTATGGAAAAGAGCACCCCATTCTTGTCTTTTTGTGTTACAGATTTGTCTTGTACAATTTCTCATTGAAAATTGCCTCAGGATATTTGGAGAAGACATCACTTCCCTCTTGGGCGAGAACTCAATGAGTCGTGGTAACAGCGAGAAGGCTGCAGGTACCGGGAGTAATTTAATTGGCTTTAGTGAGAAGCAGACAGCAAGGTTGCCAGGGATCATGGGAGATGCTTAGACAGAGCTGTTCTGGAGCCCAGAGCATCGCCAGGGCAAGGAGTTCCATGGGCTCCTTCTTCCGAAGGCTGGCTCACAGGTCAAGGGAGGTTCCACACTGTTGTGAGACCAAAGAAAGGATAAGATGAGGTCTCTGACTTCAAGAAGTTTCTAGTGTAGATCATAAGGGCATTAGGACTCATCATGGTATGCTACAGTGTTTGGGAATTTTTTCTAACAAAATTCTAAGTGGGTGCTATATATCTATATATATATATACAACATCATACATATATATGTAGTTATATATATATATATATATATAATATATAATTAGATACTTATACTATATAAATATAACCATAGTATATATATTTATGTATATTAGATGTGGTCTGGTTGAAGCCAGAGCAAGGGGCCTTTCTTCCCCTCCCTCCTCTTTTGGCTCAGGGGCTCTTGAGGCACCACAGGATTCCAGTGCCCTTTGAAACAGGTTGAAAAGAACTGGCATCATTGAGAAAAAAGGACTTGACTTGATGTCAAAAAACCTCTCCAGAGTGTAAAGTCCTGTGCCCCCATTTACCAGCTATATTACCTTTGATCAGTTTTTCTAGCTCAGCATCAGTTTATTCATCTCTAAAATGTGGATAAAAATAATGTCTAAATCTTAGAATTGTGGTAAACACTAAATACGATGATGGATGGAATCCAAAAAAAGCCATTAATAGGACTAGGAGAAGTGCCCCTGAGACTAGACCTAGTACGATTTGAGCCCAGCTAATCACAGCTACCTGGCAGCAGTCCACCTTAGAAGGTAGACTTTCGATTCAG